GAAAAAGCTCATTTCAGCTGCTCTCTGAGACATCACCAAGGTCATTTCCCATCACAGATGCTGGGCCCTGGCTTGTTCAAATTGGTTGTTTAATATTAGGGGTTTTTTTTGTTTGTTTGTTTTGGGTTTGGTTGGATTTTGGGTTTTTTTGTTGTTGTTATTTTAATTTAAGGCAGAAATTTGAGGCAGGAATCCAGGGATCAGCACCAATAATGCCCCAAATCAGTGGCACTGTAAAATTATCAGTTTGTAACAACGTGAAGGCTTCTGCTGGTAGAACCCTTTGGTGCCAAGTCCTACCTGAAGCAGCAATTTAAAGTCCTCCTCCCCTAAAAATTGTTTGCAACCTTTATTCCAAAGCAAAGGGAACCAGGTGCAGGAGCTTGCTGGGAAGTCCAGTAACAGTGGCACAGGGTTCAACTGGGGACTGCACCTGTGCAACAGGGGCATAAAACCAGTGCTTGTAAAACACAAGAGATAACAATGCCTGGTACCTTTGCACCCTTTAAGACAAAGGGGTTTTGTCGTTGAGATAGAAGCTTTTACTCACGTGATCACAGGAGGTTGTATAGCAAACAACAATAAAAGAACAGTCCAAAGAGTAGATAACTCCAGCCTTGTCATCTGCTGGGTTTCTGCTCCTTCCCTGCCACCACCCAATTCCAGAGGGAGGAGAATGAGGATAGAGTGGCTATTTTTTGTTCCCCTATTCACAGGCTTTATTGTCCTCAAAAGTTTTGTGCACAGTCAAGCTGAAAAGAAGCCAGAGTGATAACATCTCAGCCTCTGGAATCTTCTCAATTTCCACTTTTGCTGCTTCTACCAGCTTTGAAGTGGAGCTGGACAAAGTCAAGTCTAATGGGAAGGGAACCCAGGGTAAGGAGTGCCCTCCAGAAGAAGAGACACCAAAAGTACCAACGGGACCAGGACCATATTTTTATATTGGGGGGTCTGATAGAGCTGGGCTGTAAGTAGCTCCTCTCAGCAGTCTCATAAGATCCATGGATTTGTATGAAGTCACACAATGTTATCCAATCATTTCCCTTTTAGATGCTCTCTGTTGGCAGTGGTACACCTGAGGAACCATTTCAAGATAAATCAGATGGAAAGTACCCACTGGAAGACCACCAGTGCTAAAATCTGCTAGCATGATCACTGGAGCTGGGAACCACTGCTGCTGATCAACATTCTGTTGTGCTTCTAAATGTAAAACAAGTGAAAAAGATTTCTGCCCAAGAAAAGTTGTCAGATCTGAGGCTCCATTCCTTCCTTTCTGAGTTCTTTCCAGCCTATTGACATTCTTCTCCAGATACCACCAGCAAGCACCACAGAACCTCTGCTGCAAACAGCACTTCACTTGCTGTGTCCCCACAGTTTTACCTACAAAGAGCTTTTTCTGCCACTGCTTGCCAGCTCTCCCTGGACTCCTCAGCAGAGGGGCTCCTTATTAAGACTGAACCCTGAACATTTCTATTCCATAGGCAACAGTTGCATTCAAATTGGCAAAACCCTACTGAAATGGTACCAGTTCTTAGCAGAGCTGCTGAATGAAAACCTTCTTCACATCACAGAATCATAGGGTCAGTATGGTTGGAAAGGACCTCATCAAGTCCAACCTTCATCCCAACATCTCCCTAACCACTAGTTCACAGCCTCAAGTGCTCCATCTACTCATTTTTTGAACCCCTCCAGGGATGGTGACTCCAGCACCTCCCTGGGCAGCGCATTCCAGTGCCTGACCACTCTCTCAGGGAAGGATTTCTTCCTAACATCCAATCTAAACCTCCCCTGGTTATTCCCCCCACCCTTCCAGTTCAGCCCAGCTGGTCCTCTAGAAACCACTCTAACAAATGCTTCCCACCCTATTCCCCCACCCAAGGGCTTCTGGGCATGTTAGGTCAGGCTCCCAGAGGAAATTATTAGAAACAGAAGGTACATGAGCTAACTGAGTATTAGGAGAGTTCTTTTCTATCTTGTGCTCCTCGTGCAGCATCTCTTGCCAGAGCAGAGGCTGGCAGCGTATCTATGACAACAGGAGAGAGGAGGATGCCCTGAAATGGTGTGAAATCAAGTGCCCAGAGACCTATTACCATTTCAAAGAAGGTGCCTGTGGGCCTTGACTGGGAGAGGGTGGTGGGAAAAACTTGAGAGTGCTGGACTTGTGACTCCCAGGGCAGAGGAGGTCACCTGAGTGCAGGAGAAACAGGCAACCTCCACTTCTTGGCAGACCTCAGAGCTGGATTGCCATGGTGATTAAAGAAGGGGTTTTAGACAAGAAAAGAGCTTTGGGGGAAGAGACACCACTGAAATGAAGTGAATCTAGTGAAATGAGCAGCACAGGGGTCGAGACACAATCACAGGCACTGTGAAAATGCTTCAAAAAGCATCACAAAAAACCTCCCCAAGCACAGCCCCTGGGGCAATGCTTTTATTTCTGGGAGCTGGACAAAACCAGTGCCCTGGCAAGCCTGAGCATGGTAGCATGGAGCTGGAGGCTTCCTGGGGCAAGGGGAGTGTGTTCTCACTTCCCTACCTGCCCACTGCTCTGATGGCAAGGTGGTGGCTCTTTGTCAGGCTGCACCTTAAGGCAAACTGGTGAAAGTCAACAGTGACCAAGTCAGCTTCATCCTCCAGATCCTGCTGCATGGGACAATGAGGGCAAGCTCTGCTCTACCCTATCCTATCCTATCCTATCCTATCCTATCCTATCCTTTCCTATCCTATTCTTTTTCTCATGCAGGTGAACAGCTTCTCTACCAGATTCCCAACAACTGAGTCCTCACCAGTAAGAGGTCTCTTATATTGCCTGAAAGAGCAAGAGCAGATGACCAAAAAAGATCAATAGAAGCTCTAATTTCAAGTAAGGACTCTCATCTCTCTGAACCTTGACCAGAAACATGCCAAAAGAAAGTGAGGGCACATAAACAAAGGATCAGTTTCTTCTGGATGCATAACATAGAGGATAAAAAGTATATGGGGTTTTATTTCTTGCTTATCTTCTAGAAAAAGAACTTTTTTTTCCCAAAAGTACATACATCAGAGACAGAATTTCTTCTTTCCTTATGTCTGAAGGTACAGGGGTGTCAAGTCCCCCAAAGACAACAGTCACAATAATGACCCTTTTTTGGATACACCACCCTGCTGGAAAAGCCACAACTTCTTACAGACACTGTAAATAGAAGAGAAACTTCTTGTCATTTCTGCCTCTTTATTTCTGACCTACCAAAAAAACCAAACAGCAATCCTCCACCATGGCTACTTGCAGCCATCTCAACCAGTCTGCAAAAAACTGAGCACATGAAGAGGATCTTCAGGTTAACAGACATTCTTGGCAGCTTATAGAATGAGGGAGCTCAGGAAAAACCCAAACACACAATTGTCCACAAGCAGGGGAAAGAAAAAGCCATTTCTTGAGTTTCTACTTGCAATTATTTTTTTTGAAAGTAGTAGAATGTGTTAGGAGTGGATGTGTTGGCTCAGGCTCTCACCTTGCTCTTCATTCTCCCATAGGTTACTCAAGATGGCAAAATTCTTCATAGAATCATAGAATCATTTAGGTTGGAAGGGACCCCCAAGATCATCAAGTCCAACCCTTGAGCCATTAGGGCTCTGAAGTCCTCTGCTAAAACAGATCAGAATCTGTCAGGGCTGGAAGGGACCCCAAGGATCCCCCAGTTCCAACCCCTCTGCCATGAGCAGGGACACCTCCCACTAGATCAGGCTGCCCAGAGCCTCCTCCAGCCTGGCCTTAAAGACCCCCAGGGATGGGGCCTCAACCACCTCCCTGGGCAACCCATGCCAGGGTCTCACCACTCTCATGGGGAAGAACTTCTTCCCAGAATCTTTTCTACTGGACTTAAAAGATGAGAGAAACACCTTTTGGGAGCTTTGCAAAGGTGAATTGTCTTCATCAATTAAGTGATGGACTGGTTGATGGATTGTTTGGTGGCAATCAATTTAAATAATGTGTGAAGAGTTCATAAAGGCACACACAGGACTAACAACTGATATCTCTGGCTGTCTGTGCATAGACATCCAACTACACTCAAGTGAGGAGCTTTCAGAGCTCACCAGTGGGCACATCCCTGCTTCATACCACACACATTACTCTAACAGACCCATTTTCTCTGCAGAGGAACAGATTTGGATCTGCAAACCCAGTTGCTCTAACCAAGGCTGAGGAATTTTCCTGCTTAAAAATCCAGCTGCTCCCAACAGCCTTGGAGCCAAGCTCCACAGCACTGAGGAACACCTACTGGAAAAGAGGGTGCCACACAAGGCTCCCCAGGGAAGAAGAGTGCAAAGGTAGAGGCTGAAGGCTGGGAATTCATGTGTGAGTGGAATTTGTGTGCTTAGTTCAGCACTCCAGCCTCAGAGAGCTGAATTGTTCCATAGGTTGAATTGTTCCATAGGTGTTTAATGTGGTTACACCACATCTCAGCAACCTCTGAGATTTCATTTTGTGGGGGAGAGGCTTTTGCTCTGCTTAGCCTGTCTTGCATCTGCACTTCAGCCCTTTCAAGGCAGATCTGTTTCATCAGGAAGATTTGAGTTTACCTTTGTCTGGAAATGGAAGAATGACTTCAAAAGGCCAGATGCTGCAGTTCTGAGCAGGAGTTCTACACACAAAGCCTTGTGCAAAGCCCTTCAAATCAGGCATTATCCCAGCTCCTTTACAAAGCCAGCATTTTACAAATGATCCAGCTGCAATAGCTGCCCCAGGAGATCTAATAAAGCCTCCCAAATATCTTTCTAACTCTGCCTCAGTGCTGCATTAGTCTAACCTCCATCAGGCAGTGGCTAGCAGCCACCAGAATTTTGTGTTGGGGTTGGGTTACTTTTTATTCCTTGCCTGAATAAATGAACCATGCAGGTTCTTCTCTGTAGACCATACACCCTCTCAGCCCTTGCTAGAACAGTTTGTGGAGGAGCAGAACAGCAGCAAAAGGAAGGGGGCAAATAAAAGGCAGCAGAAGTCATGAGAACAGTTTCAGCTATACAACATAAGTTGCTCTCTTACCTTCCTTCTGCCTCAGCATCCCTCCCTCAGCTGAGGAATGTGTGAGAATTAAAGCACTTTAGTCCTCTGAATAAATCTTCCAAAAAGAATCCTCAGGGCTGCAGCTCCTGGATGCCTCTGATGCTGCCTTGAGCATGCAGAGGGCAGACAGGGCACCCTGAACTTGACAGTGCCCACAGCTGCATGGCACTGTGGGCAAGGACAACATGACATGCTCATGATGACACCCCAATATTGGCATGGCAAAAGCACCTCTTGCCCTGAAGGTCCTGGCAGAGTGGTGGCAGCAGCTCCTCACACTGAGCCTGTGCCAGTTCCCTGACCCTGGGCTACCATGGCTTGGCATCTTCACCTTGAGAGAGAGCACAGCAACCTTTCCAAGAGCTTCCCCAGCCAAAGCATCAATGTTCCCTGCTTAGGTTCCTCCAGACATCTTTCCTATCTCACATCTCATCTTGATCTCCATTAGCCAGAAGGGGCTCATGCTCTGAAGAACGAGGTCCCAGCTTCCTCTGAAAGCTGCTGTTAGCATTGATTGATTGTTTTAACATACCCCTGTTATCTGTGGATTCCTCCAGCCACCTCTGATGAGAAAGGGAAACAATTCCCAGATTCCATCACCCTGGCAAGAAAAGTGATGGTGCTGTATCAAGGGCTCTTTGTGTTCAGACATAAACTCTGAATATTCCCCAGGAAATATTAGTAAATCTTTCATTACCAAGCTCCCAAGACTCAGTGCAGCTTCTGCTCCTCTGGAAAGGAGATTTTAGCACCTCCAGCCCCTCCCCAGAGTGTCCTCTGCTGCCACTCCACTTAAAAGCAGGGCTGGGAAAGGGTCAAAGGGTTGTTCTGTGGTGTGCAGTGTGGGGTCACCTTTGGCTTGCTGTGCTACAGCTACGTGGTGAAATATTGCCCTCACAGGCATATTCCCAGCCTCTGCTCCTGGAAGGGAAGGAGGTTGATGTCCACTCTTCCCTCCTCGTTGCCTGCACAGCATCATACCTGGTTTTTTTTGCCCAGGGTCACATCAGGCTGACCTGTGGCAGTTATGATGCTGCTTCTGATGATGTGACTGTTCACCTGACCAGCCAGGCACACTGAGGCCCCTGAGCTCAGAGGAAGGGCAGGGTCTGGTTGACAGAGAAGGGAAGCAAAAAACACCTTTGAAAGGCTAAAAATAAAAGGCTCCTCCATAGAGAAATCCTTGCACCCAGGAAATGGATGTGGGTTTATGGCCAGGCGTGGCAACAAGGCTGGAGAGAAGCAGCATCAGGTCCTGCTTTCTGCTCTGGACCAAGTTCTCTGCTTAACATGACAGTTTCTTTCCCTGGACCTCTTTTTCCTGCCATTATTCTCTCATGTGTCTGTAGACCACAAGCTTCTTAGGGCAAGAAGCCTTTGATTGCAGCTACCTAGCACAAAGGAGCCTTAATCTTGGCCAAGGATTTTGCTGATCCTGTTGTGCTTAGATGGAATAATCATAATTCTGTAAGGTGCAGATGTGTTCTTCAGGAGCCAGCATTCCCAAATCTCCAACTTTGCTTCTCAAATGAGAGCTGGAACAGAAGGAGACTGTTCTGCCTTGCACCCCCACACATCTCTTGTCACACAAAATAAAATCCTTCCTTGCTCAGATATTTTACTTCAAATGAAGCCCTTCAGTAGCCAGAAATGGCCCTGGGGAAAGAGAATTAAAAGAATCAGAAGGATGGAAATGGTTTGGTTTTAAAGCCCTTCTCTCCTCCCAGTGTTCTGAGCAGCAGCAAAACACACGTCAGGGAGGGGTCAGACAAGGCCACTCCAGTTGGGGTCTGAGTGGCTCCAGTTGGGGCTCCTGGAGCAGGGCAGCTCAGGAGAGCAGCTCGTGGCTGCTTCCTGCAGTAGGCACACTATAGAATGGTTTGTTTGCTGAGCTAGAGAGCTTTCCACACAGGAATCCAGGTGCTGGGGTAGGATCCCACGGCACACGTGACACCCAACAAAGGACAAGTGTTTATTAGCAGGACATAAATTATCTGGGCTCCTGCTGGGAGGAGGGAAAGGAAATTTATGGGAGTGGCTGGGGATGGGCCAGGCTTCTTCAGATTACCATGAATTCAGCTCTCGTTCCCTTCCTGCCTTTTCTCCCCACCTGGAATCAGCCATTTTCCTCCTGCATCTCCAAAAGACCAGAGGCAGCAGAGACAGCAGCACTACCAAGCTCTGCAGCCTGACAGGAGCTGCCCCACAGATGGAGTTGCAGCCAAGCTCTGCTGTTCCACAGGGCAAGGGGACTCTGAGACACTTAAATTCCCTATTCTTGATAAACTGGAGCTGACACAGGGATTAATGAGACAGTGGGAGAGAGAAGCACTCACCTTGGTTCCTCTGGGAACACATCCATGCACCTCTCCCAGACGTAGACACTGGAACCAGATTTAGTCCCAAAAATATCCAGCCTATGACCTGAAAGCATCTCTCCCTGTCCAAGGAGGTCCTGTCCAGGCCCAGGCCCTGGTCCAGACAAATTATATCCAGATCCTGCTTTGACAGAGACCTTGGGCAACTGTCTCTCCAGCCTCCATGTGGGTCAAGCACATTTCTGCCTGTGCCTGTAGAATAGGAGTCAAGGACATTTGCCTGGTTGTTCTGAGGGGTTCTGTTTCCTAATCCTGGGGTTCTCCCAGATTCCTGGAACAACTGAGGCAAATGTTGGATGTCTGCCATGCAAGCTGGTCCCCAGTTATTCCTAGCTGCCAGAAATCCAACCCTCCCTTTGCTCTGTGTCCCCACCTCTCAGTAGGTGCAGAAGAAGAACTCCCTCTATGGCCAGCTGAAAGATGAGACAGTTTGGCCCATGGAGCACCTCAACAGGGAGGTTAATGAGGAGTTCAGAAGAAGCCACAGCCTCCCCAAGGACTGGGTTTCATTGTGGTTACTGTAAGTGCATGGGAGGGTGCTAGTCTGCCTAATTAGGGGGACAGGAACAGGGAGAAAACCCATCAGCCCCCAAGAGAACAGGTACACTGAGCAAGAGGGTATCTATGGTCCCATGGGAACCACTTATCTGCAGATCCTAAGCACAGAAATAAAGACACAGAGGGTTAAATTTCAATAAAATGGGCAGGCAGCTGAGAGGGAGAGAGTGCAAGTGGAAATACTAGCTATAAAAATGCAATTTTTATCATTTATGGTCTCCACCTTCCTGGCCCAATGCTGTGGGGCTGCATTAACAAATAAAGTGCACATCAGAGAGCTCTCCAGCCTGACAGGTCCCACCCTGCAAAGGGACTGCACTTCCTATCTGACTGGGTCTCACCATTCACTTTCTGCCTGATTTTGCCCCATGAAAGTTACACCAGGGACTTAGATCTTCTTTTATCAGGAGGAGAGAGCAGAAGATTCTCTTGAATCTTCTTCCCACCTTCCTGACTCACCAACGAAACAAAGTGAAGAAATTACCTGAGTCCCTGAGACCTCATTTCATTGATTCTCTCCACGACTGGCTGGGGTGGAAATGGAAAGGGCAGAGGATGCAGTTTCCTCAGGTTAATTTTGGAAATGCTGTCATTTAAAGCTAAACATAAAGAAAATGAAAACAATGAAAACTTTGTCAAAGTTTTTGTTGAGAAAACCAGCTCAGAAGCAAATCTGGCTGAATTTGCCAAGTTTCTCAGGGGATCAGAAACTTTGTTCAGCTCATCTAGGTGCCCCTGTAGAAGTAAATGAAATAAAACCACTAAAATTTCTACAAATATCTCCCTTGTAAGGGATGAGGGCCAAGATTCCTCCACACACCACTGCAGCAGGCTGGAGACCCAAGTTCAAGAGGGGGTTTGTATCAACTCAAAGTGGACAAAGATATGGTCTGTAGAATGCAACATCCTTCCAAGTCTAGAGAGGAGCTCAGCTGGAGGCAGGGGAAGGAAAAACATCCCTAAATCTAGAAGACACCTATGATGTATGAATTTCATAGTGAGAAGTAGGGGAATTTTAATGCCCACTCAGCTTTTGCCTTCTCCAGAAGACAAACATCCTCTGACACCCCATGAAATATTTCCCCTAGCTGAGTATCCATCAAAGGCAATGAAGCTCTTGCCCTCACCATGCTGAGGAATCAGTCATCATTGATCCAGATGTCAGCATCAGCCTCTCCACATCTGCTGCAGGTTCACCACTGAGTCTATAAAACCTGCTAGAATTACAACTCAAGCTTGTGAAGAGTGAATGAAGCCCAGAGAAGAAAAGCCAGAAGAAAGGGAGATGTTAAACATAGCAATTGAGGTGCTTCCAGTGCTGCTCAGTCCTACAAAACCTGAAGCCTCAACCCACCAGAAAGCCACCTGGCCAATTCTGCTGTTGCTAAAGCAGAAAGGAACTCAAACATCCTCCAGCAAAGGGCAGTGGGAAGAGCAAACCCTATGAAAGAGAAGAATTAATGCATGCAGCAGTGGGTAAGGCACCTGAACAATGGACTCCTTTGTCCAGGGAGTCAATGGCAAGGGAGAGTCAATGGCAAACTGGTGCTTCTCACATTGCACTGGGAATTGTCTTCTGCAAGGTTGGCATGTGGAGCCCTGGCTGTGTAAACTGGGAGTAGAATAGAAGATCCAGTATCACTCCTATTGTGGCAAACCCTACTGGGTGAGTTAAAAACTTCAGTGTTTAAAGACCAGTACAGCCTCATGGATTTGACACATGGAGAGATGAGAAAAATCTGCTTCTTGACAAGCATTGTCTGGAAGAATGATGAGGATTCTGGATGCTTGGTGGTGACAGAGTCAGCTGGAACCTGCAACTTCCTTTTGAGAGAGAGGAATGTGGAAATTTAGGCATTTATTTAGCATAGGTTTGCCCATGTTTTCTTGGGCTTGCTGGGGACCAACAAGCCTGCTTGTTTCTGGGTGCAGTATGCCCCAGGAGACCCCTGCACAGTCCCTGCAGAGGCTCTGAAACAGAGGAGGGGGACCAAAAGTGACAGAAGTTTGCTGTTGTTGGCTTTTTTCCTGCTGTTTTCTGGAGCATCCTCCTGCTGGATTGTGTCTAAGCTCCTACCCAGCTTAGGACAGTGCAGTTTAAAAGCCTGAGGAACCTGTCTGCAGAAAGCACTGCCTCAGCCATGCAAAAGGGCCTCCCTCCAGAGGCTTGCTGGGAAGACAGATGTGTATGGTTTTTATCTGCCAGTACAGAACAGACTGAACACAGAGAAGCCATTTGCCAATTTGTGACCATGTAGATAACTGAGGATAACACTCAGATCCCTACTTAAAGCTGGGATGGTTCCTTTGCCTGGAGTGACACAGCTTTTCATTCACCCCAGGAACACCAGGCACCACGTGGATGCTGCAGGCTTGGTTGTGCCCACCCCAGGTTATGATAACAAAAAAACTCTGATAAGAGCTTCTTAAGGCTGTGGAAATCCCAGAACCCCACTGCCTTAGCCTGTGGTCTCCACTGTTACTAAGCAGGCTCCTTTCTGGGTCAGCATCATCTGAGCAGCCCTCCCAGTGCTTGGTTTGTGGCTGTGCATGTGGCTTCAGCTCTGACACAGAATAAGTGCCACTGTTGCTGTGCCTGGCTGCTGCTCCAGGGCTGCTGAAAGCTCTGCCCTGGACAGCTTTGGATCCACGAGCAAGTCCTGATGCAGAGAGAAATTCATTCAGTCTTGGCTCCTGGGTCACTTGGAGCCTCTGGGAGCACAGACCAAGGCTCCTTCCCACCCTGAGACCCCAGCAGGGTATTTGCCTTCCACGTGGTGACCTTCAGCAAAGCCCCAAATGAAAGATTTGGGGTTTTTTTTATCAGAAGTAGAACAAAACTCTGGCTAAATCATGCAATTCCTGCGTGCCAAGGAGTCTGACTGTGTCAGCAGGGAAAGGACCCTTGGAACAGGTCTCATGGTGCCTGTTGGCCACCATGGCCACACGTGACAAAGCCCAGCCCACTATCCAACACTCCTTGGAAAGCCTGAACTGCTGCTGTGAGGATGGTTCCACAGCAATGAGGCCACAACAGGAACAAAAGCAGAGGAAAGTAAGAAGCATTCAGCAGATGCTGAGACTGCATCGACCACTACACCAAGAACAAGCCATGAGACACCTCAGATCCTGGTGTCATGCCACATCTGGCTGCAGTCAGCATGTTTTTCAAGGACTTATGGATAAATCTTACTATTTAAAGATCTGAAACCTACCTGTGATGTCTTGACAGAGCAAGTTTCAGCTGTGAGAGAACGTGGAGTTGTCCTGGCAGGCTGGAGTAACCTCCTCATCCTCCAGAAACATCCAGAGCAACTCGTTACTGTTCTCAGACTGGAAAAACCTACAGAAAAAAGGACAGTCCATGGTTAGGGAGCTGAGGACAGGCACTCTGGGCTTTGGTTTCCTTTGTAAGGAAAGCCAAACCATGTGGGCTAGGAAATTCTGAGCAAGGCACCTGCATGTCAGAGGCAGGGAGAAGCACAGAACTCTCATTCTACATGAAATCCCCATGGAAGTAACAGATATTGACACAGAGATGATGAATCTTGACCTTATTCTCTCTGCTTTTCCTGAAATAGGGCATTTATTCACTCGCCTCAGTTGTTGAGAGGTTAAGAGCATTTAAAAACTGTGAAACATTGAGAGAGTACAATAATGGGGAAGGTGGATGGACAACGTGACAGATGTCACAGAAAACTTCCCTCTCCTGCTTGTCAGTTTTATTTGTTCGAAAGGCAAAGAAACCAAAACCTAATCCAAGATAATTATAAAGGTTCAGTGAGTTTGTCTGTCAGCACAAAACCTTATGAACCTTAAGAGGAAAAAACACTTACTGAGAAGAATGAGTTTGCCAAGAAAACTGTATGTAACTTAGGTGCCCTCTGTTGGCATCTGCAAAGCAGCTTTTTTTTGAGCAGCATTTGCAGTTTTTTCTCTAGAAAAACAACAACAAAAAAAGACATTTCACTGCCCTTACTCAGCCCTCTTTTCATTTGTTTAATCAAGTATTTCAAAGAAGTGAAAATTATTGTTGTATCTTACTCTGAGCAAAATCAAATGCCAAAGTGGAGGTGCTGATGCCACCAAAATCTGCCAAACACTCAGACTTCTTCTCACAGCTACTTGCAAACTCATTGGGGGGGAAAAACAAAAATCAATTAAAAGGGAATGAAATTTTCATGGGGCTGTTATACAAAGAAATATCCTGAATAGGTCCTGCATGTGTTGCAGAGGATCAGCACCACAGGGGTGGCAGGAAGCAAACAGATGAGTTTCTGTCACCACAAGGAGAAATAACAGACAGAATTACATGCAGGTTGTTGGGTTTCACACAGATTTCTAACTGGATCATCTCATTCTGTGGCTAAATCAGTAAAAAAAAAATCAGTGTCTTGCATGGCTCTTACCTGAAAACAAAACTCACCCAGGAAATGGAGGCCAAGGGTTCATTGCAAACTCAGGACCATGTTTGCTTTGTTTTGATGCCACGTCCACCTCAAATCAAAAGGGGTCCTAAATTCCTTATAACTTTATTTCATGGTGTCCAAAAAACTCAGCTAGAAACTGCTTGGGATGTTCAGAAACCTAGAGAGCAAGAGTCAAGCTACAGAGCAGCAGCTGGAGACACTAAATCATGTCTCGTGATGTTCTCAAGTAAGTAAATGGATGCAAAAAGGGATTTGTTCTTAATATTAATTCATCCAGTCCTTCCAAAAATCCTGCCCTGCTCACTTTCCATGTTATGGGATTTTGTGAGGATTTATTAGTAGTCCCACCTCTCAAGGTGCTCCAGAAGTCTAAGGTACAAATACACGAATTAATAGTACACAAAATTAAGAGAGACAAAATGAAAAGACACAAAATGAAAAGACACAAAAATAAATCATTAATTTTTAATTATTTCATATTATGTATTATTCATAGATGAATAATATATATAATTTATTAAT